TCACAAGCTTAACATTAAGCACACATATATATTCTAAAACATTCAATTCTTTCACAAATTCCTTTGTACGTTGGCCCAAAATTTATCTTTTGTATAGGTTTAAATTTACAACATTTTAACACAGTTAACATTTCTACTTCGAACATAAAAATTTTCAGATATTTACACATCACATTTAAATTCACTTTACATCAAAAGTCATAGTTGCTTAATTACAATTTACCATTTTTTCATGAAATCTTAACTTTAAGTTAACAGATTTCACTATTCAAAGAGTCTTTCTGATTAAAAGATGTTAATTGAATTCTCGCAACTTGCGAGTTCTTAACAAAAATTTACTGCTACTTTCTCGCTAAATTGCGAACACAAAAATCTTTTTCCTTACAAGCTATTTACAACTAAGTTCTTGCTATTTGCAAATTAACTTTTCTTTTTTCAAAATATTTAGCAACTTACAACAAAATGACATAAATTGAACTTGGTATGTAAAATAAAGAAACAAAGAAATTTTCACTTATTTTATCCCATCCTAATAAAACAAAACTGCTCAAATATTGGGTATCTCGGAACTTCCAGCTTTCCAGCCAGGCAGGTGTAAGTTGAAATTCAAGAAGACAGGAAAGGAACTTTAACTCAAAACTTAACTGTTAAAGAAATTAACATAATCCTTACAGTCTCAATGTTTGTGTCGTTCCTTTTTTGCTTTTTGTGTCATGACTACAGCGCCAGGAAAGCGTTTCCGACCATGCATTCCTATGTGATTTCCCATCATCTAGGTGTACTGTATCTCTTCTGAAAGTTTGTCAACACTGTACTGATTAATTAATTCCCGATGGAGCCCTCGTGGGAACGCAAGGGTTATGTTGTTCTAGATAGGTGCGGGTACCAGGCAACACCCGATTTGCCATATAAAGCCGTCCTGGTGTCAGGGCCGTGCATTCACCTGTACTGATATACCCTGTATACACACACGCGCGCACGTGCACTCTAGTGTATGCTACAGTTGGAATTTGTCAGTGGTTTGTCCGGTCTGCAAATGCTTTGAGAAGGCTTGAATCGTTACCGTTCTGTTTCTGTATTGCATGATTGGAATTTGTCAGTGGTTTGTCCGGTCTGCAAATGCTTTGAGAAGGCTTGAATCATTACCGTTCTGTTTCTGTATTGATGATGATTTTTGATTAATTATTGATGAAGTGCAACAAGTAAATAAAAATTTATGTTTAATAATTTTTCAGCCAGTATTCACATTGCATTTAGAAGGTATCTGATGTATCATTACTTCAAGGCTGAGGGGGTGCTAACGAAACTTGACAAGAATGCTGAGAAGGGAAACATTCCTCAGAAAGGGGATGTTTAATCAAAAGAACTTAAAGAGCTAGTCTAAATGATATCATTCAAGCGTGATTAATATTTGATAATTATCAGCTGTACATTTAATCTAGTTATATGTGTAACGCTGAACATGCTTTCCTTCATGATTTGCTCATATTTGTATTATTTACATATCATCTGCACAAATATCTGGGTAGCATTGTGCTTTTGTATTCAGTAGCAAGTAAATTGCACTCATTTTTATTTTGTAGTATGGAGTTTTGATGAGGCTTTAAATAGTTAGCATCACTTACTGTTGCCTTTTAATTGCCTCTGTATATAAGCTGTTTTGATGCAGGACTTGATACTGAGCAATAAACAGACTAGAAAATATATCTAGAGAATATCCTCAAAGCAGTTTACTGCTGGTACCTTAATCTGGTAGTAGTCTAAATTCTTCTTAGATTTGATTTTATAAAGGGAAAATTTTTTATTCTATAGGAAATTAATTGGACCTTTCTGTCAATTGAATCTTTTAGACTTGCCTTTTATTATGCCATTGCATATGGTTGCAATAATCTTGCTGTCATTTCCTTCTTATTGTACAATTGACAGGGTTTGTAGTGGTCCTTATAAGTGCTTATAAGTCCTTATATTTGAAAATAAAATATAAAAGCCCCTATACATGGTTACTTTTTCTCTAAGGCACTTATTTTTTTTTGTTTGTTTTCAGTGCTTATTTTTTTGCTTCTAGTGTTTTTTTTAAATGAACACATTTTTCCCCGAGCCAAAGCCAAAACTAAATAAACAACTTTTCTTCCTTATATGGAAAGTCAGCTGGTGAATCATACTCCCGGAAATAGCTTTTCGCCCCTTTCTCTGCATTAACATAACCTTTGGTGCGCAAGAGTACAGACAGGTGCACATCGTTCTATTGATCAAAGAATTGGGAAAGTGGTAGAAAATTCTGCTAAATTCTGTTTCTTTTGTTCCCACCCAATACTACACACGTTTGAATTTCTATTAAGATTTTAATAATTTACTTTCTCGTTCCACGTGGTCAGTTCATATCAGTGTTTACTATGATCAGCATGCTTATATTATGAGCACAGGTATGAATATTTGTAATAATATATTTGAAACTTAAAAAATGGGTAGGTGTGTTTTAACACAGATAACCTTTCTAAGGAATAATATTTGGAATGGCATAAAAAAAGTGACAGTAATCGAATAGTCAAAATATTTTTTTTCGCCAATGCATTCATTATACAGTACAGAAGTTGTGTGTTCTCCCCTTTCTCTGCAAAATCTCAAATATTGAAACCGTTACAGTTCGCAGCAAAGTAAGCAACGGACTTTTCTTTTGTGGTAACTTTCTAACCTGGATTGAATAAGACTAAAAGTTCTGCATCCTATCAACCCAAGTGAAGAATGATTCTATTCCGGAAATTTAAAGCAGTCTGTTCAAAATTAGAATGAAAAACACTCCAGATTGGTAAATCTCTCTCGCGACGTGTCCTGCTCAATGATAAATATGCCACATGGGTGCATGATGGTGAAAAACTAGACCAAGCAAAGGGGCGTTTTCCTTTATTTAGTTATTTATTCTTCAAATATTGGCAGCTATTGATTCCGATTGCGTGATAGCACATGCAAAAGAATGAAGGCATGCATATTGTGCAATAACGTCTGCAATATTTCCCAGAGATAAGAGTTTTACTATGCTTGCTAAGCAGATTATTTTTCAGTTTCATTGGACTACCTTCTTATATGATGCACATATCGAAATGTCAAAAGCATTATTAAGCTGAAAAATCTAAAGAACGGCTGACCGCCTTTCCTCTTTTACCAGTTATGCTGGACTATTTGGAATTTTCAGATATTCGGCAATTTGCGAGTATGCCGGTTAGTTAAGCTTTTACTGTTAAAAGATGACTGCATCAAGCAATTTTCTGTCTTCTGATTTCAGAAAAGTTATTTTTTTTTACTTATTTTTACTTAAATTACTTTGCTTGCAATATCTGTTAAGGTAAAACTGTTATACAATGAAAATTTAGAAAATGTTTAGAATTTTGATTTAAGTTAAATTATTTAAATATTAATATGAGTCGAAAAATAAATTTTATTTATTTTTAGGTGCCAAGCAAATATAATAAATATGGCTTATTATTATTATTTATTTTCTGTATTTTGAACTGAAATTTCATCATTAAATCTTGTAATATAATTTAGTTCTGCGTAGATTTTTTTTTTCTCTCATTGTAAACTAGTTCTGTAAATTGAACTGTTATTTAAAATAAAAAAATAAAAAATAAAAAAAGAATGTAATTGTTTTTCGTGGTTTAGTAATGCTCATTCTTTCTTAATAAATACTGAATTTCTCATATTTTAAATTACTAGTATAATTTTTCTTTTAAGGTTATGCGGTTGTGTATAATGTAATAAGACAGGTACTTATTTTTTTCCCCTTAAAATGTGATTGAAAAGTGCTTATAGGTGCCTATTTTTTTAACTAAAATGTTTCTATGAACCCTTATTGAACTTTGCCATGCCATGCAATTTTGATAATTTCTTATTTGTTGAATAGATAAGTTCAGGTGTCAGGTATTGCTATAATTAACTCTTTGCGACGCAGTGTGTCCAGTCTGGACACACCTAAAAATTTCCTTCTATACGCACAGAAAAATTGAATGAAAAAGCATTTATAGGTTGCTATAAGTTACTCTGAACCTTCTCTATTTATAGTAGATGGCAGCTGAACACAAACCAGTCCATATATTTTAGCCATGTTTAGTTTTTGAAGACCCTGATTTTTCAAAGAAATCTTCCAAATTTTTTTTAGGGTATAAAAGGAATTGCTTAAAAAGAAATTTATATGTTTTTTTTTTTGGCTGTACACTAATCTTCTTATTCTGTAATAGTTTTAAATTTTTACCTTGAAATCTTGCCTAAAATCAAACGGCGAACTCTAGGTGTGCCCAGACCAGGTTCACCGATAATCTAGGACAACTAAGAGTCTGTAATCTTTGTTTCTCCGCATCTCATCGATGAGTTCATTGACAACAATGCTCGTTTCAGCACTCTTTTTGAAGCTCTATTCAATCAGTGTGCCCAATTTGGGCACACCCACAGAATTAAAGCGATAAGTGCTATCTTCACAAAATTTTACTTATGTACTCCTCTAGGCGTAATTAGACTGCCTACTTTTTTTTTTAATCAAAACTCCAACTTTAAAAGGTAGTGTGCCAGAAATGGTTGAATGTCCAAATCAAAGATGCCTCAGGCCTACGAATGATTTAGTGGTTAAAGCAGCAAACTACTAGTTATTCTTCCACCATCCATTTCTGTTCTTATGTATAGGTGGTACATAAATAAGAGACAGTTGTGTGTAGAAACCGGCTCAGAAGTTACCCGTACCATTTTGCAGAGAAACCATCAAGTGCTTTTTTATATTTAATTACTTAGCTTGCTGCTTCTGATACACATAAGCATCAGAATCAAAGGAAAATAATGCTTATATGAATTCATAAAAAAGGTTTTTTAAAAGTCGAAGTATGTTAATTTAAGTATGAAACAAAAAAAGGTGTAGTATGAAATAAAATACAGTAAAAGCTATAATTTACATTATAACTTATTAGGTACTGCTGCTTTCATTAATATGTAATTTAGCTTTTTAATGTAATTTTATTCTTTAATATTGATATTTTAGTTTAGTTCCAAGGATGGAATATACATTACCCGTCATATAGCTTTACGTAGTGGCATGCCAAATGCTGTACCATGTCTCACGGTCAATCGGTTATGTGGTTCCGGTTTTCAAGCAGTTGTAACTGGCTGTCAAGTAAGTAGAATCTTATTTTTTTTTAATAAGGGCTGTTTTTAATTAAGTATTAAAGAACATGAAATAAAACTTGAGGTGAAAAATTTAAGTATATTTAATTTTACAACACGTGTTATGACTTGTGCTATATCAAGTCTTCATTTCATCTATTTTTACGTGCAGGGGTTGTGTGTAAAGATAGCTAATTAAATAAAGGCTCCTGACAAGTGCAAGAACTTTCTGTTATAGATTTCTTCAAGCTGAAGGTCAGAAGGATATTGAAATTCATTGCAGATTCAGTAATGTTTATGTCCAAAATGTATCAGTAATATTACTTTGCATAAATTATTACATCAGTAACATTACATTCACATAAATGATACAAGAAGTTTTAGGAGGACATAGTGATAAAGACATCTTTTATATGCATGGCACATAAATACAGAAGAGTGTTGCATTACTCTGTGAAATAGCATAACATATACATGTGAAACATTTTGTGTGTATATAAAATTTTTCTTCATTTCTTTCTTTCTTTCTTTTTTTTTTTTTTTTAATATAATTTCCAAGCTTTTCAAAACTTGAAAAATAATGTTCAGATTTATTTTCCTTCAGCATTTACTTACTGAACTTCAGAACTTCATTTTCCCATACCTTTACATGTTCTTCAATGAAAGAGAGCCCACCAGCAGGCGAGCAGTAACATCACTGAACACTGGTAGTTCGGTCCGAGGTTCGAATCCCGTGAACGGGCTGGCTGCATGGGTATTTTCGTGGTTTTCCTCATGTGTAACGTGCATACGAGCCAGTTTCCCTTAAAAAGTCCTCCACGAAGGCATCCCTCCCTTAAGGCAATAGCTCTCGAGTGCTTTGCCATAATCTAATAAACCAAACCAAAACCATCTTCAATGAAAGTAAGACATAGCTGTAATTTGACATATATAATATTTTTTGTTGTTAATATTGAGAAAATAGCAGCAGTTCTAGAATTTTATTGTTGAACATTGCACGTATAGATATATAATACGAGATATGGCTGAAAAGTAATGAGACTGTTGAAAAAAATCTCTTAAACTAAAAATGCTATCAGCTTTGAAATAATTGTTGAATAAGAATAACCACCGGATACATAGCTTGCATTCTTTGTAGCAGTGTTTGAAGTCATCCAGTATGATTGCTTTAACTCACTGATCACTGCTTCTCTAGAGAATGTGACTTCATTGATAGAGATTCATTTTTAGAGATGGCTTTTTAATTAAAATTTTAGTTTGGAAGAGAAGAAAAGAGAAACAGAAGAACCTGTACGAAATGAGTTGCAAAACCATTGGTAAGACTTTATACCATGGTTTGGTGATAATTTTGGCCTTTTCCCATTCAGTTCTTGAGTTGGGTTTCTTGGAGGAGGATTTGACCAAAGGTGCACTAGTTAGCATAAAACTAGCTTCAAACTTAGAAAAACACTAGAAATTGTTACAAACCATGTTGCAACAAGCCTTCCCTTCATCCTTCCATATATCTCACTGAACCTAGCAACATTTTATGTTGTGATTCCAATATATGTAAGGTTCCATTTTGATTTATATGCAGAATTTGAATTTCATGTGTTCCTTTTCATTTACAAAATAGGAATAACATATGTTGTTATATTTAGTTTATATTTAGCAAAAAGTGCATGTTTGTGTGTAATGTCTCCAAACGAGCATTATTTGCTTTCAAACATAATTTTTTTGTATGTGTATTAAATTTTCCAAATTTATATATATATGACATTTTCCCCCTCATATGTGTAGGAAATATGTTTACGAGAGGCTGAAATTGTGTTGGCTGGAGGTGCAGAAAGTATGAGCCAAGTTCCTTACTGTGTGCGAGACATTAGATTTGGTACAAAATTTGGAACTGATTATAAGGTATAGTAATTTGCTTTAAAACTGTGATTTAATTATTTGTAGTGATAATCATAAAAAAATATATTAAAAAGGATTTCACATCATCAATGCTGTGGAACCATGTTATAACTTAAATTTATCTCCTTTGATGGATAAAATAAGAGTTTAATGCATGTTTTCTTATTTGTAATAAACAGTATAATAACTTTTGTAGTAATATTTATCAAGATAAGTTAAAGTTTGCCATTTGCAGAATCATTTCTTTCAAGGAAAAATTTTGATATGTATTAATGATGGTAAAATATTGATATATATAATAACCTTTACCCTCTAACGCGCGGTGGTCGCACCCTGAAACCACTAATTTTCAAATTTTTTTCTTCTCTTCCTTCCAAAATTTTTGAGTGAAAATCAATTGATTACTGATCTTTTACCTCTAAATAACACAAAATGACTACAGAATCAGACATGTTTTAGGTCTTAGTTCTTCAAATTGGAGTTGCCTTTTCAAATTCGTTTTCAATGAGACAAAATAGCTTTCTTTAATTAATATAAACAACTTTAAATTTCAAAAGTTATTCATTGCGCATCATGATTTCTATCATAAACAGTAAAAAATAGCAATAATTAAACTGCATATATAAAAAAAAACCCTTTATATGTATGGCATTTGCTTTGTGGTTTCAGGGCGCGACCACTGCCCCACTAGAGCATTGTGTCACAAAGCTCTAGAGGTTCAGTGGTCGTGCCTTGAACCACTGCTCTTCACAATGGGTTTGTTTGCTTCTTCTCAAATAGAAATGTTATTTTTACCAGATATAGATAGATGTTTTTGAATCACAGAGTTAGTTTATTACTAAACATACATGCACCTGCCCATAAAAAGGTCTTTTCTTTTCAGAGACTTTTTTTCACACCCAGCACACTTGCTTCCCCAACAGAATTGTATTTTATAAATTATTTCCTGTGGTTTAAATTTAATTAAATTACTTGCTGTAATTAAAAATAGAACTCGTGTAAAGTTTTATTTAAATTAAATATTCTGAATATTTTGAGACGAAATACTAATAAAATAAGGAATGGGAACGAATGATCCATACCAAACCAAAAGAACCAGCTCTCCCCATTAACATAAAAAACCACAATTTCACATGCCAATGAAAAGAACTAAATAACTGCTGGACATATACCATGAAATTTAGATCCAGTCGTGTATCATTTTGTAGCACAAGGAAAAACATTATAGAAGATACTGTGAAATGTGCAATGTGGGTCTGTGCATGTACCAAAGACAAAACTCTTTGAAACTGTCGCAAAAAATATTTCTTCTTTAAATAAAATTTTAAAAAAAAAAAAAACCTGCCTGTTTTACTCAGTTTTTTTATCCTATAGCCAACGTCCTTATTATTAGGACTTATACTTTCATTGCTAAGACGTTACAGAAATGTTTTTTTTTAATTTTTCTGACAATGTAGTTTGTAAATAAGTATATATATATATATTATGCAGTTCTACATGCATTTTTTTTAATTCGTAAATTTCCTCATTTATTGGAAACGCACACGGAGAAAGGTAAGTTTATTTTTCCCTGCTTCCTAGGTATGTTTCAAAGTCTGTGTGGTGGTTTCACAGTGCGACCACCACCCACAAAACAATAGGTAAGAGTAGATTTTTTTAAATTCATATATTATTTGTCTCTAGGATCATAAAATTCAATTTCTAGAGTTTTTAGTTAAAAAAATTATAAAAATAATATTGCGCACGTGAAAGGGTTAAGGGGAAGAAGGAAATTGCATGTGTCCTCCTTTTCTTTTATATGTGAAACAGTATATTATATATTGAAAACAAAGTAAGCAAAAAAATATGTTCCTTCACTACAAATACTAGTTGAGTGTTTAAAAAAATATATTTATTGGAATTTATGGTATTGATAATGATTTGGGATCTTTTTCATTAAAGTCATACATACCAATTGGCACTTTTTTCATTTTGGCTATTTTCTTTGCACCGAGCATAGCCAATTTGTTTTTGCTTCTTTTCTGGTGATAATTGTCTGTATAATCACTAGTCATGCAAACATGATTTTTTTTTATCTAATCGCATTTATTTATGTATTATTATTTTTTTAACTGCTGTGAATTTATGGTAGGGGATTGGGAATGTTTCACAGTAACATTCTTTTACACTTCATTGGTTCGGACACCAGGTGTACCCAATCTATTGAGCACTTTTGTGGTACTGCAGAATGGTAAATTAAATGCTGAACAGGCTGTATGTAAATGTTTAGATACTTATTTTAATGTAGCATTGTATGCATTATAGAAGAAAAGTGTTTTTGCAGTGCTGAATGCCAATTTTTTTTTAATGTCTGCTCTTTAGTCTTATGTGTTTTTTTTATGTGTGCAATGTTTATTACTGTTATTTTTTATCTTAATTTTTTGTATTTTATTTACTCATTTAAGAAGCATTACATGATACTTTGATTATCTGCTCCCACCTCCTCAAAATTTGTCAAACATTGGCAACTAATCCTTTGGCAAGTTAAGTTGCAAAATACAACAGCCATTTTCAAACAGGGCATCAGACTAAGAATTGCATAAAATGGCAACCAATTAACTAAATTCATGCAAGAAACATTGAAACGTTTAGAATTAAACACTCATCTTTTTTTTTTTTTTTTTTTCATATTTGTAGTGATCTTTTTTAGCTTGAAAAAACATTTAAGAATTGCACAGACTTGGCATTGTGTGCAACTTGACACTGCATATGTTGTCGTTCTCCCTATGTGCACAGCAATCTGTGTTCATTCAAAAAAAATCAGAGAATTGCTCAAATTTGGCATGGTGCACAAATTTCAATCAATAAAAATTCAATCTTTTAAGTACTTCATGGAATGTTAATTTTTGCATTCTTTATTGGTAACAAAATGCTATACTTCTGAAGAAATACAACAGTTTCTTTCCATCAGCTGGGAAACTCTACAGTCACATTAAGTTTTCTTATGAAGAAATAAAATGTATTCAAATGCCACAGAAACACTAATCAGAAAAACTGTTGAATTTTCATCTACTTAGCATGCACGGAGTCTAGCACATAAATAAATTTTGGGGACACAATACATTGCCGTGTGAAATTTTTCAGATGGTGGTTAATCAGGAAAAAAACCCCCTGTAAATACAAGGGGAACTCGAAAAGTAACCGCTGTTGTGGCATGGTGGTAGTAGTAGTGATTGGAGTGCCACTTTCGCATAAACCGTGATAAGCTTCCAGTAGGACTAGTGAAAGCATCATACTAGTGTGCATCTGCTGGTTATAATGTCATAAAATGGACAATAGCAATGAAACTTTACCAGATGCGAGGTATATGGAGTGATAAGATTTCATCAGGGAAAAAAAAAATCTGTCAGTGGCAGCCATTCATCAGGAATTATGTAGTATATACATCTCGGACAACAAGGCATCATGGGATCAGATTTTTCAAAGCAGGATGAACAGACATTTATGATGAGCCTAGGAGTGGTAGCACTTCAATAGTGATGGATGATCCTGTCTAATATATTGAGAACCACTAATTCACAATCTTGGAACTTTAAAATTTAAAAAAATTCTAAACTTTTCTTGCACTTTTTTGTATGAAATTTTCACTTAAAAATTGGAATGCTGCAAATATTTTGCTTGGTGAATCTTGAAAATTCTCACAGAGATCAACAAAACAAATCAAATGAATTCTGCTTTAGACTTTATTTCCTAGCACAGAATTTTTTTAATAGAATAGAGACTAGCAATTAGGCTTGTGTCATATGTGGAGGTTGATTTTAAGCCATTTGTGACAAGCATCTCACTCACTGAACCGCTTTCTCAGGATGGTATACTGTCTTGTGAGGATTGGCAATTTGCATTGCTGAACCTAATTTTGAAAAAAAAAAAAAAAAAAAAAAAAAAAAAATTGCAGAATTTTAAATTTGTAGTCCAATTATTCCAGTTTTTGATATGTTCAATTAGTTCTCGGAATTAATTTCAAAACTTTCTAATTATACTTTCCATAAAAATTTTATAAAATAATCAGTTCTAGAACAATATAATTTTTGACTCGAGTCAAATAAATATATATGCAAAAATAACCCAGTCACAGGTTTTATTTTACACATTCATAAAAATAATTATTTAAAATCTCTTTCTTAAAAAAAAAAGCATTGACTTGCTTCAAATATATATATATATATATATGACTGTATTAGAATTGTTGCAATTATCACATTACAACTCTGCAAAAGTATCATCACTGTTATCAGTGTCAGAAAGACTTATTTATCATTCGTGTATACTCTTCTGTTAAAGAGCATTTTCATTTTGTCATTTAGGTGTAAAAAATGCTTCACTGAATGATACAAAATATCTGTCTTTACACCTGAAGAAATGTAAGAGAAATAAAATCTGTAAAATGACAAAACATCTACCCCGCTACATCGCCCCCAAAGTAGTGTTCTGAAGCATCATGAACATGTGTATTTGTTTATATCAACTAACACAATTAAAGAGCCATTACAGCCATGACACTGCTCAACACCCACGAATCTTGCTTTGATTCCGAAACAAAATACCAAAAATAGAAGAAAATTGCAAAGGAATGAAGGTCAACGTATTTCATTTTCAGTAAATTTCGTTATTACAGACATACAGTTACGTCTAGTGGCAACAAAAAGGACTAATTAAATGTTTTTTCTCAAAAGTAATATATGTTACACTTGAGCACAGAATTAATTTAAATGATGAATCATATACGTCGTACCCAGCCATGAGGTAACGTTTTCAGCCGATGCTTTATGGCACATCTGGTGCTAAAGGGTTTAATCTATACATTCATTTGAAGGATTGGCTTAGGGGGCAGCACTTCACTGTCAATGAGGATCATCAAATTGCTGTGACAGTTTAGTTGAAATCTCAGCTGCAAAATTTTATGCAGAAAGAGATTTATAAGTTGGTGAAACATTATGACAAGTGCTTGAATTTATGTAGTGATTGTGTCGAAATATCAGTGTTGAAAGTACAACTTGTATTGATGTAAATAAAAGATGTCAGATGTAAATAAAAAAATTTGTAGCTATACAGTTTTTATTTACAACCAAACAGACATTTTATGAACAGTCGAACATTTTATGCTTATCTAATCATAGGAATCAGTATTTAAAGTAATCAGGGTCAGTTTGGAATCAGTATTTAAGACAAAAAAATTTATTTTCTTAAATACTGATTCCAAACATGTATTCCAGTTACATAAGTTTCTCAAACTACAGAATTCTTTGGAAAGAGTTTCAGCGTTAGGAACGGGAGGGTTGTTTAAATACAAACTCTTTACTTTTAGTATACGGTCTCTGTAGAGCAAAAGGTCCAGTTAGTTTTGTGTCTACAATGCTTTAATAAGTTAAATATGAAAGTTTTCATGCCATTATGCTCAAATTTTTGGAAGTAATATTTTATTAATATTTTTCAGATGGCGATTTCAAATGGCTTATTTTAATTGGGTGAACTCCAAAGCTAATGATCAGGGTTAGAGATGCTATAATCGTATGGCAAACATATATTTTGCATTTTTTTACATATCTGGTGAAAATTTTTTAGATTCTCTCAATGACAATGAAAAGGGCTGTCTAATAAAGGAAGCTAGTGGATCTCTCAATGGCAATCAATATGAAACTTTTAGGGGTAATCAAGTGTATAAACAAAACTGCAGATATAAAGTGTTTCACGTTTGCGTGCAAAGTTCAGAATAGAATGTTTAGTACTTCGTCTGAGATATAGTATCATCAGCAATTTGGCAATTCAGGGTTTCGGAAATTACCAAAATTTAGATCATCAATTTGATTCTTAAAAGATGATAATTAAGGTTAAACAAAGGAAATACTTGAAACAAGGCAATGGCAAGCATAATGTATTTGTTAGTTATGAGGGGTTTAGTGATAAAACACATTCCAGACTGTGGCTTGCCTTTAAGTGTGGTGACAACTATTGGCTGAATAGTCTGATAGAGAGCACAGGCATTTTGACTGTAATATAAGTACTGTTGTGAAGTAGTAAGTATGCTGTACAATTACACAAATGGCTTGAAAGCTTAATGTAATACAGTCAAGTACCGAAAAGCTGCCAATCTGAAATCCGTGTTGCCTCTCAAAATTAAATTTACCGATAGCGGTTCTTCTGTGATAGTGTGCGGTTTTCTGCACTTCATCACTCTGTGACCTACCTCGAAAGATGCTAGCTGTTAGTTACTCGGAACTGACACTTGTTTCATGAATACACTGCCTTGCTTTTGTAAATCTTGTGACTTCCAACAAAAAAAAAATGCGAGATTTGTGGACCAAGTAAATGTGAATGGTCTCAAGCTTTAGTTTACCTGAGTGCATACATCTGTCATCGTTGTATTTGATCATTATTTACATTTAGCGAAGTAAAAGCAAAATCAGAGTAACTTTCCTTGTAGTTATGACATTTTTGCCTCTTTTATTCTACACCAGTTTCAAAGCCTTATCACTCGGATCTGAACTATCTTTACTATTTGTTTTCTTGTTTAATAAGAATTTTTCATTTTGTGAAATATCAATATAGATTCATCAATTTATTGCAATATTTAATAAAGATCACAACTTTTTTTAATGGTTCAAGAACAGGGCGCAGTCACGCACACTTTGAAAACCCCTGTTCTATTGAATAAACAATAAATTATTAGCATAAATTTGTATGATCAATAATTTGGCTGTTGCTTTTTTTCTTGACATACATCTCAAACCGAAAAATTCTACATCAAAACATTCTTGATTTTACACCTACTAAATAATTTATATCCCTGATGCCAACTAGGTGCATCATTATTTTTGCTTTCATCACTGCATGACTATCAACACATAGCAGCTTGAAGAATGACTTGTACAGTGATTTTTAAATATTAGCAAATGAATACCAAATAGTATGGTAAACTTTTATGCTGATTTCAGCTAACTGTGCTGCAAAGTGTTGTGTGTTGATGAGGAGAAATTTAAGAGAAATTTCTTTCTATATGCAAAAAATAGATGTAAATGATACGCATAGGGAAAGGATACATTTAATGCTGTTTGAATTGAGAATAACTGATTTGTTATTTAAATGAGCCCTAGGCTGGCAGCAGAGCTAGTGTGGCAAAATTTAGGGAGGTGCTTAACGGCAAACTGGCCTGGATAAATCTTAAGCATATGCTAGAATTTATTTATACAGAACTCTGATAAGCTTTATGCATGAGATTGTTGTAAGTACAGTAAATAAAGTAATATAATTCGGGTTTAAAATTCATCATTGTACAATAGAAAAAAGGACAAAAATTGAGTAGAACAATGTGTCTTTAGTCGCCAGTCTCATAATACATCGCCAGTAGCGTATAACAGGTTCTTGTTGAGCTTTATCATGATAGTTGTGAATATGAAGGTTTTCAGATATTGCAAACAAAGAGGAATTCTCAACAATTTTCGTTTTAATAGAATTTGTGAAAGAAAATGTCGAGAAGTGGTAATAAATGATGATATAATAGAAGTTTTTCATTGTGATGATAAAGCCACAATCATCAGTCAACTTATCTACAACAAAATCAGTAATATGGTTCCTAAATCCTGAATATATTGCTACTAATATTGAAGAAACTGACAGAGAGGTTTTTGAGAATGAAAACTTTCTGCATGACAGTTGTGGGAATTCTGGACGTGGCAGTTACAAGGCTTAAACAACGGAGCTTTGTAACTGAACAAGAAATTATGTCTACCAGTAGAATTAAAGAGAAAGTATTAGTCCAAAAGACGAAGCAGTGTCAACAATTTACATTGAAAGAAATGTGTAATAAAGGAAACAAATAAATAATTAGTCTTTTTTGTGGGTAAATACTCCATTATTTCTTACACCACTGTTTCATATTTTTAATTTTATAATGTCTATATGCCATCTACCTAGATTTAAACTAATGATGTAATATGCAGAAAATCCCAAGTCTGGAATCAATGTCCCAACGAGTTCGGATCTCAGACTCTGTATCACACATATATATAATGTTTTGCTTAATATGCTATTTGTACTTTATTCTATTTTAGTTTGAAGATATGTTGTGGAGTTCTGTGTATGATACATATGTGGACATGCCCATGGCTATAACTGCTGAAAACTTGGCAGTAAAATACAAAATTTCTAGAGAAGAATGTGATGAATTTGCTTTAAAATCTCAGAAACAATGGAAGCAAGGTAAGTTCAGGTATTTGGTTTGAATATTTTTTCCTTTTATGTTTTTTTTTTATTATTATTATTATTGTAGTTTTTCTAATTTTCTGAGGTTTTCCTGAGTGTATTCAGCAAAAACTGAATATTATACTTTCTTCCTCATTTAAATTTGAAAAGTATGAAAAATGCATTTATGCAGAAATGCATTCATTTTCAATGCAGAAGTAAATTTTTATTTAAAATATTTTACTTTATGTAGCGATTATTTTTCAAAACTTGAAGTATTCATAATTAGTACTTTTTTAAAAGAGTTTGAAGCTGAAAGTCATTATTTTTCAGCTTTTCTGTGCACAAAACTTCCCTCTCCCTTCCTGTGAGGATAGCCCTTGAGGCTTTGCCATAATCACACATGCACGCACACACTCTCTCTCTTCCTGTGTCAGGTTTAGAGGATTTTTCCTACTAGCTGCTTTTTTTTTTTTTAAATCCGTGCAGGATCAGTTGTGTTTTGTGGGAGTTGCATGATTCAGAATTTAGGAAAAGTAGAGCATTTTAAAGAGCTTTTCAGTTTGAAGTTATTAGTGAACTTTATGTTATGAACTACAAGTGCTGGAATGAGAATGCTTTCGGAAAGATATTCAAGAGTTTGTTTAAGTCATGGTATATCTGTCAAAATATTATACTGAAAAACCTGCAAACTTCCTGTGATCAGAGTTTACTAAGTGTCCCAAATTTTTTTCCAGTGTAGATGATAGATTATAACCTTTAAAACTACAGGCTATATAACCTATATTCTGATGTATAATGCACGCTTTGAATATGAAAAATAAGACCATAATTTAACGGTGCAAGTTATACACCAAATATAAAAATGATAGATTTAAAATTAAGGCAAAGAGGAACATGCAAAAATTAGATTTCTACATTTACTTAAATGCTGTTTATTTAAAACAAGTAGCATACCTTAAGAGCTTAAAATTGTTATTTCTTTATTAAAATTTTTATTATTTAAACATGCTTAATGGCTGTTTTTTCAGTTTAAAATTTTTTATTTTAACGACAAAAAACAAATTAGTCAAGAATATCCGAGTTTTTGGACTTCCCCCATAGACCCAAGATGTCAAACTATAGTCATTTGGCTGCATGTAGACATTGATTCAAACGCTATTCATCAAACTCATTTGGCCATCTGGAACAAGCAGTGCCTTCAAAGTCGAAATTTCCATTTTTGAATTTGGTAAACCAATTTCTTGCAGTTCGTTGAGGAAATGCACCTTCATACATTTTCAGGCAGCTTCTGCAGCATTGGAGCCTTGATTAAACGCAAAAGGAAGGTGGGTGTCGAAAATGCTTATTTTTGCCGACTTGACACTCCATTAATGATCTGATAAATAACAAAAAATTAGCTCACACACACAAAAAAAAAAAAAAAAAAAAAAAAAAAAAAAAAAAAATCAAATACGCCACTTATTTTGTAGAGGGAAAGATTCTCTTTCAAATAGCACAAAACATTATGGCAATACATTTTATTTTTACCACGTAATTTTAAACACAACATAAATGGTCATTACTTATGTTTCAACCCATTAATTTCTGATAATATAAAAAGTTTGTCATATTCATCTTCCATTAATAATTTTACACACATCATCACATTCTGTTTCACCTTCACCATCACTGTTACTCTGAACCATAACTAAATAATCATCTTCCATTCCATCTAGATTGTCAGGTATACCACATTTTTAAAATTACTTTTGAATTATGTCAGGTTATATTTCATTCCATGCTTTTGTTATCCATTCACACACTGTTTCTAGTCTGGCATAATGCATTTGGCCTCCTTTTGTAATTTTTTTTTCACTTTCTAACATCCACTTATTCCACTGTCATTTTAAATTTTCTTTGAATGGTTTATTGATACATACATCTGAAGGCTGAATTAATGAGGTTAAGCCACTTGGAATAACTACTACTTCTGTATTACACACTTTCAACATTTTCTTCATATTATCGATTAGATGGAATCTGAACGTGTCTCAAACTAAAAGACTATCTGGATTCTTTTGTCAAATATTTCTTATCCACAATTTCTCACAGTTTTCATCCATCCGTCATTTCTCGTGAACCTGAATGGGGAAAAAAAAAAAAAAAAAAAAAAAAAAAAAAAACACTTGGAAAATTACATTTAGGCATCATCTTTCTTTTAATAATGCCATTGGTTTTAATTTTATACCATTCACTAAGCAGGAAAGTGCTATGGTGAGGACAGATTTTTTGTGACTTGTTTTTATGTGAATGTTTTGTTCCTTTCACATGAGTTGTTTTATTTTCTGTCATATCAGACATTACTGGAGTTTCATTCATATCTCGAATCTGTGAGTAATTTTGTCTGCCTTCCTAGGTGAATAACATACTTTTTTAAACTTGCCAATTTATTCTCCAAATTTTCGGGATGCCTTTGTGAAACTTTTGTTTCTTCTCATAGAACTAAGTTATTCCATGCTATAAGTTGACTACATCAATTCAAAGTTGTTTTAAGGTTTTCACTTTGTTTACATTCTTTTTTTTTGCCCATTTTAATGGAAGTAAATATATGCTGTTTCTTGTTACAATTAATCCATTCTGGTGATTTTTAGGGCCCAATTTGCAACAATTTCTGCTATGATAGACCATTTTGTTACTCCTTTGTGCAAAAAGCATTTATTCTTTGGCATGTGAATTATTGTAATTTCATTTTTATTCCACTCATATGTGAAGCTTTCACTAACACCAGGAGAATTTCCATTTTCTGTCTCAAGTTGAATGACTGCATTTGAAACCAGCTCTGTGTTTGTTTCATTTGGCAGAAGCCATATTTAATACTAAAAGGAACACTAGACCAACTGTATTTCAACCAGAGCAAATGCAGTTTACTAAAGCTTTCTATATACTCTTCCAAATCATACCTTCAAAGAACTACGGAAAGAGAAAATATCTGACTCTTAATTCTGCGAATTCATTCAGGTTGGAAGTGCATTCTTGTCCCAAATTATCTCTCTTTTTCTCAAAACCCTAAATAAAATTCTTATGTTTAACTTCATTGAATACAACCTACCTTCTTTGCATAATTATTTTCTCCTTCAATCATTGTGCCTCCATGTTGTATTCCTTTCATTTGTGAATTCAGTGTATCATTGTTTAAAAGCCTGGAAAAATTTTTCAAATTGAATGACCTCCAAAAGATAAAAGCATTACATAAGTATCTTTCAGGTATCCTTGTTAAAAAAGTGATATAAAGTGATAAAAAGGTGATACATTATACAGCAAATATACCTGAAAAATTAAATTGTAGTTTCAAATTATAGGTGAGCCTTATGTGCTGGAATGTGTGGTGTATGTTACAGTTAGTGATAAATCTAGTTAGCATTAGTAATAGTCATATCTCTTGAGCAATGTGATTAATAATGCATAACAATCAAATTTACAGGTAAAAATGAATATTAGCAGGCAAGTCAGGTGAATATAATAAAAAATGTATGTTATAATATTTATTACTTTCATTTATAAGATAAATCCATTATTTATTACAAAGATTAGCTAAGGACATTAAGTTTCTTTTTTCCATCATGTTATGACAAAAAATAAGCATATTTTTTATAAACCTTTTTATGAAGAAATTCATTAAACCCAAATCAGCAGTCAGAGAACTATTATAAGTGTTGAATTTATTGATTTATGCTAATTTTTATTTTAATCGTAAAAAATAATTTTTCCTTGAAGTTGACTTTTTCAAACAAGCGAACTGGAAAGAACACTTTACAAAAATAGATGTCAGAATTTAAAATGTTTTATTGTTATTACATCACTAGAGAAGTCGGACAACAAACTATCATTACATCCAGAATCATTTAGTGAAATTTCAGATTCACTATCTGAATCAAATATCAGAGTTATCTTCAGCTGTAAGCTGCTCATTATCATTCATTTCTTCTTTTATTTTAGCTCCAAATTTAAAAGAAATAGTATTCGCAGTAGCTGAACACTGAGCTAGTGAAAAGAAATTTCATCCTTTACTTGCATAAAAGAATTCAGTAAAACCAAACCTTGAAACCAGTTGTTTTGCAACTCTAACTTTACTGGATTACTAACGCCAACTGTTAGAAACATTACACACTAAACAAGCAAAAAATTCGTGCAAATCAGTGTATTAGAGTAGAAAAAAATGTTGCCCGAGAGGCGCTCAGGAAAAAGTGCCATTTCCAAGTACCTGAACGGCGTTCGGGCAAAACTGGGAACTGGTTAACTGCAAATGTACGTGTCAGTTATTTCAATTAGCAAAGTCTTTTTATATCTTTCACATGTGATATACCATTTACTAATAACCAGTGTTTTAATAGGAGTACTTGGGGAGGGGACTAAGTAAAATAGAAGGCAGATTTTTGTAAATATCTCTATCATTTTGCATAAAAATTGTGCTTAGAAAGAGAAAATTTTAAATTTATTTTCAAAATTTGATACATTATGTAATGAAACCTAATTTCAACATATGGTACATTATCTGATAAAAGCTAATCACCTAAATTCTGAAAAGTATCTTTAATTTGTTTGTTAATGCTACTTATGGAAACTTTAATGATGTTGACAATATTATTAAGCAAAAATTTAAATTTAGCTTTATAATGTCTTAAGAAGATTTGAAAATTTTTAAGTATCTCAATGAAAATTATAGGAATTATTTATTTTCATGTTATAATTTTAAGTCTGTGTTCCAGTGAGATCTTTCAGTGTAACTTTAACACATTAACAAGCAACAAAGTTTTATGAGCGTTATTGAATATAAGCAGAAAGAAATGAATCATATCGAAGCAATTTTAAATAGTCCTGCAGTGATGACATTGACAGCGTGTCTACATAATAATCAAATTACTAATAAACATAACTGTTTGCTTAATAATGTGAGAATTTCTAATATTTAGAATATATCAGAAGAAAATAACTGAAATTTTTACTTATATTTATGTTATGTTAAAACTGATGTTCTGATATAGCATTCAATATACATGAAACAAATCTGAATAATAGATGGAATATTGTTTAATTTTTCTATTCTGCATATTATGCTTATTGCTGACCAAATGGAAGCTATAGAACACTTATAATGCATTTATTTCATAGCAACTGAATGAAGTGGATACATGAGTTTTTTGTGGTGTTCTGCATGTGCATAATGTAATGCATGTAACATAATAGCAATATGCTTGCGGAAAGTTCTCTGTTAAGGCACTTCTCTAATTAGGAAAATCACTGTCTTGGTTAATAAATAATCAATCTCCATATGGTCTGCCTGTGAATGTGAATGGGAATCTGCATGCATTTTTTCATGTAGTTTATGTGACATAGATTTTCACATAGTATATGCAAGTTTTTTTAATGAGTATGTTTAGTTTTAAGTAAATCTTGATACTTTAACTGATTTCACTTAAAGCTAAATACTCTTTCTCCTTTTAAAATGATATATTTATCCTTGAACTGCAATTTTTTTAATCTAGCTCATGATAATGGGCGATTCAAATCTGAACTCATATCAATACCTGTGAAAGTTAAGGGAAAGGAAGTTTCGTTTGATACAGATGAGCATCCCAGACATGACTCAACAATTGAAGGACTTGCTAAATTAAAACCAGTCTTTAAACAAGGAGGAACTGTAACAGCTGGTAATGCATCAGTATGTATTCAGATATAGAATTAAATTAGATTATACCTTTGTATTCTTACTATTTAAAAAAATAAAAAAAATTTTATTGATCTGAAATAGGGTATTTGTGATGGAGCTGCTGCTATTGTTTTAGCTAGTGAAGATTCAATAAAAGAAAATAAACTTACTCCTCTGTCCAGAATCATGGGTTATAGTTATGTTGGTAAGCTTTACTCCCTTATAATGATTTAAAATGATTTTAAGCGATGTATTACTTAATATGTAATTCTTTGTATAACAATAGGTGAATATCACTTAGTTGATTAAAAATTACCATTAACATTTTGTGAAGAATACAGTTTTCTTTTATATGCTTTAAAAAAGTAATTAATGAGATTAATTAGTTAATGAGACATGTTTATCCAGTTCAGCATCCTGCAAAACTAAAATAGTTTCAAGCATTTTTCTTCTCCAAAGGTAAAATTTTTGTGCCTGAAACTGGCCTCAGAATATTTCTTTCCCCCTTTCACCAGCTGTGAAGACCTGTTCAGGTCAACTTGACCGCATGCTAGTCACTCTCAAGGACACTGAATCATTATACCGTATCAAGGACCATAAAACACAGATTGGTGGATTAGAGCAGATATTTTTCACTTTGACCCTACTTCTTGGACATAACTGGAAGATATACATTGTCACTAGAAATCTATTCATATCAGCAAGCATAGATATCAATGTAGTTTTAGGGCATTTGAAACAAAAAGACACTTTTTCTTAAATATATAAATAAGAAGCGCAATATATCATAGATCATTTTACAAATCTATGGTATATTTTATCATGATATATCAATTTATAGTAAGGGCAATATATCATAGATCATTTTACAAATGACAAAACTATAGCTGCTTGAAAAATGCCAAATTAAAAGTAGTATCTTACATAATACACACACATATATATAATGTTTTTTTCAGGAGAATGAGATCATAATAAAAAGTATTGTTCAAAACTCGTATCCTTCTCATCTGATCCTATGTATTCTTGGATTTTTCAATCTCATAGCCAAAAGACTAAAATCTGTTTCAATATATTACAGTTTGCTTTTACATTGCGATCTATTATAATGTAATGTAAATGCAATTTTTAATTGTCAAGTAAAAGCTTTGTTCCTTGAAGTAAAAATAAGTGCATTAGCTATAATGTTAGTACAGTACTAAGTCTGTAATCTGGATGTCCATAATCCGGACCTCAAAGCTACAAATTTTATGCGCATGTATAAATGCATTTACGCATGCGCCTATGCTTTTATGCATGCGTCTATGCGTTTATGCATGCGCGTTTAATGTATAACGGACGGTATAAGCTAGGCTAAAATTATCTTAAGGCATTTCAGTTAATGTTGCAGATTGTGCTGTTCCTTAATCTTCTAGATTGTTAGAACAATTTTATAAAAATTAAGCTTGAACTTTCGATTATGTCAAAAAAGAGTTTCCAATTCTGGAGCTGCCATAGGATTAACAAAGCGAAAGCATGTTTCAATGTCCATTAAACAAAAAGTGGAATTACTGCAAAAAATGGATAAAGGCATAGCCATCTCAAAATTATGCGAGAAGTATGGCATTGAAAAGTCCACTATATATGACACAAGAAAAAGGAACTTTTTGAATTTTTTGTAGAAGCATCTTAAACAACTTACATTGAAAAAATTTTTTAATAAAGTAAAGAAATAAATATTAAGCTTTTTTGTAAATTTTGATACCCTTTAGATCATAATTGTTCTTTATTTCATAAATTACGATTTCATATTTTTAATTGCATCATTTGTGCATGCCATCTTACCAGATTAAATTGATGATCTATAATCCGGAAAAACCCCTAATCGGGAATGGCCGAAGTCTTGATGAGTCCGGATTATGGACTTTGTACTGTATTGTGTATTGGAAACAGCCTTGGATATTGTTTTATTATTTTCTTGATGCACTGTAAAAACAATGTTTGAATTATTTGTTATATTTTTACATATTTAATTATATCTTTATTTTCTCTCATGAGAAAAGTATTTCTTTAGCTTAGATATTTAAGGTTAATATTTAAAATTGCAATTATTAAATTTATAGTTTTTTTCTTAAGTTTATTGTACTTTTTCTACAACAAATAAAGTTTTAATTATGTGAAATGTGAATATAAGACTAGGTATTGGGAGATCGCATTAAAAGTTAGATTCCGTCATCCATACATAAAAAAGAGATTTAAAAAATCACTTAGTCAAAATATCAATATTTTTGTCATTTAAAACACTTCTGTAATTAGAAATATGACTATGATCAACGGTTGCCAAAAGCAAGGTAAAGTGGTGATGGTATGTATTCGTATGGCTGATTTCAGTAAAAAAGGGAGGTGCACTACTATAATAGCAGTCCCATGTATAAGACTTTATAAAGTTCTACAGCTAATCATTTTTGAGTTGAGGTACATACCTACATATGTACAGACCTCGTGAAAAAAATTCCTGTATGAATCCATTAATCCATTTCAGAGAAAAGAATCCTTTTTTTCTAACTGTATGTACAGATGCTACACAAAAAAATGGGCCAGATGGTTTCAGGAGTGGTCAGGATATTTTTGTTGAAATATTGTACCCCAAATTTTTTTGTGACTATAGTACTTCCTTTACTTTAAACAAGGAAGTAAAAATAGTAAAATAACGTGTAAAAAAATTGAGTACTCAAAGTAAAATCGTAACTCTTCATTCAAACAGTAAAACCAAGAAATTCCTGAAGAAATTAAAATTAATATAGAAAATTTTTTAGACATTCTTTAGGTTAGGCTATTGAATATGACAAAGTACACCATAGTTTCCCTGAAAGGAGAGGCAATTTCATAGATTATTTTCTAATGAAAACTGACTCATATTTACATTACACGTGACTTTACAATATATTGGGTCATATAAAAAGTCTTCACGCTTTTTGGGTACATTTTTGAACAAAAATTTTCTTTATTGAAAATCAGTTTTAGTCAAGTACATATTAACGACTATTATCTATGATCTCTTGCCATTTTTCAGGTAGCTTCATAATTCCATTTGTAGAATTTCTGTGGTTTATCGTTGAAAAACTCTGGCGAGTGATTTTCAGCGGCTCTTTGGTCAGCCAACTTTTTAACATCAAGAGAGTTTTGCAGAGACCAAAGGAAATGGTAGTCAGACGGTGCAAGGTTCGAGCTATATGGTGGATGCATTAAAAGTTCCTAACCAAGTTCCGTTAAAAGTAATTTGTTCCAAATTATCAAAGGTGTGTGTGGCTGTACATTGTCAACGATGGAACACAACTGCCTTTCTTTATGCCAATTCTGGTTGCTCTTTCTATATTGCTTCATTCAAATGGTTGAGTTGGGCACAGTATAGGGCCAAATTGATGGTTTTGCCAGGTTGCAATTTGTGTGGCACCCAAACATTGAGCTTCTTTTCGTAACCTGCTCTTTTCAAATGATTCCAAACTGAAGTGTGGTTGATGTTTAGTGCCTCTGCTATTTCCTGACAGCTTTCATGCCGGTCTTGCTCCACCAGTTGCAAAATGTCATAGACTTTTTCAGTGAATTGCCGAGTGAGGTGCATTTTAATATCAAAATTTCCGGAACGGAATCGAGCAAACCACTCTCGGGCCTTTCGTTCTCACCGTACTTGCAGCCTTTTTACTTTTCTTATAGTAAAAAAGCATCCCAATGTATTTCTTCAGATATTTCACTCATTTTCTAATCAATATAACCTTTTACACAAGCAACGAATTAGAAAACTATTTTCACAAACAATGGAAGCTGAATGTTACCTTTTAAGCACATACTCGTTTGAGACAGGTGAGTGTTGCCAGATATATAGGCATCAACACCATCTAATGGCAAAAAAACACGGAGAATTTTTATATGATCCAATGTATCTTTCGTTTAGTGGGATGCATTGTTCGTGTACTTTATCGAAACTCGGGAATATTTCTGTTCTTTGCAGAATTTATAATAAAATATTTACTATTTATAAAGCTTGTAAAGCTATTTCATTGTTGTTTAAATACACTGCTCGACATTGAAAATGCAACACCAAGAAGGAGTAGTCAGAAATTTATGCAAATTTGAGAGTAGACGCACGTCACTGAGTTATGCGAATGATGTGAAATGCGCAGCTCTTTGACGCAGAGGAAGTAAGATATAAGGGAAGGAACGTACAGAATGGGCTATATTCGTGTTGTTATTTCTGCCAAATGAATTGTCGAAGAAAGTTGGTTTTTGTCCCGGAGGATATGTGTAATAGGACAAAATGCCAGGCCACCGTCAACGAAGGCGTTTCCAGCAGATAGATGATTTTACGAAGGGTATGGTGATCGGACTGAGAAGGGCGGGTTGGTCCTTACGTCAAATCGCAGCTGATATCCACATGGATGCGAGCACGGTGCATCGGCTATGGCGAACATGTTTAGAACAAAAAAATGTGGGAAGAAGGAGGGGTGCAGTTGCAGCCAGAGTGATGTCAGCACGCGTGGATCGCCACATCGTCCGACAAGCTGTGGCGGTCCCACAAGTCACTTGTACGTGATTCTGCAGCATGTGCAAGCTACCCTGGATGTTCCTGTGTCGACGAGAACCATTTCCCGTCGATTGGTTGAATGTGGCCTGCACTTACGACGTCCATTAAGAAAACTGCCATTGACCCCACAGCATAGATGCCAACGTTTATAATGGTGCTTGACTGGAGCAATGTGGATTACAGAATGGCGAAACATCGTGTTCTCAGATGAGTCACGCTTCTGTTTATCCAGTGACAGCAGGCGAATACGTGTGTGGCATTGAAGTGGAGACACATCTAATCCGGCAGTAACTGGGGATTGCCCCACTGCGCAACAACATACCATAATGGTTTGGGGCGTTATTGCCTATGATTCCTGGTAACCTCTTGTTCATATTCAGGGTACTATGACAGCCCAACGATGCTTGGATAATGTACTGCGGCTGGTGGGAATCCCTTCAGGGGCTGCATAATGCAATTTTTCAGCAGGATAATGCCCAACCACGCAGCACTCGCATCTGCCAACATGCTCTGCAAGGTATACAGGTGCTTCCCTGGCCACCATACTGTCCTGACCTGTCACCAATCGAACATGTGTGGGATGTGATTGGATGCCGTTTGCAGACTCTGCCACCTGCCTTGTTCAGAAGACGAACTGTGGCAAATGGTTGAAAGGAAATGGAGAGCCATCCTCAGGACACCAAGCACACTCTTATTGACTCTATGCCTAGACGTGTTTCTTCGTGCATCGCTGTCCGCAGTGGTGCTACATCCTACTGAGCCGACGCCGTTCTCACTGTGTAGTCTGACTATCATTTTAAAATAAAGATCACTTATTGCTGCTTGCTGTCTCTTTCTTATTTCAAATTTCATCACTTTCTGACCATTCCTTCTTGGTGTTGCATTTTCAATGTCGAGCAGTGTACATAAAGTTTATATATATTTTTAATCCACTTAATCCTTCGTATAAAAAAGAAGGATTTAAAATTTGCAGATATGATCATAACAAAGCCAAAGTAGTCCGCTACTCCGTCAGTCTATTATTTTCAGTAACTTCATTTGGAATATGAAATATTGAAAAAACTTGAAGGGCGAGACGTCTTTGAAAAAGGTTGATTTTTATGTAGCATGCTTCTCTTTCTGGCATGCTACATTTTAAAGTTGGAATTTGGATAAAAAAAAGGTAGGCAGTCTAATTATAGGCCTAGAGGAGTACACAAGTAAAATTTTGTGAAGATAGCATTTATAGTTTCAATTCTGTGTGTGTGCCCGAAGCGGGCACACTGATTGAATAGAGCTTCGAAAAGAGAGTCTGAAGCAATGAAGCGAGAATTGCTGGGAAGTCTGTAAAAGAGTAAGAGATTTTGCCTACGATTAAAAAACACTAGGTTCTGAATACCGTAGCAGAATTAGCATTACCTAAGGCTGCCACACGGAGACCAGCTACTCTACACCTTCCCCTAAAAAGCCCTTTTTTGGTTATATGATGGTTACGTGTATGCATGGAAAAAAAGTAACTTGGGTATATGATATTTACATTATTTAGATTTCGTAATCACACTTTAGTCTATTTTTTCCATGGTGGTACTTTTTGAAGAAAATGACACCACCTTTGAAAAAGCACAGCCTAGTAATGTATGTTTACACATGTACCGGGATCCATATCAGATTTACTATCTGAAGCAATTTGTGTAGCACTTTCAATGCTTCAGAAATGAAGCACCCTCTATGATCCATTTGGAAAATAAAAATACAAAAAATAAACTAATAGTATATCTGCAATTGAGGCCCGGTGACATGGTGTCTAGTGCATCATGCTGTAGCATCACAGGTCCGGAGTTCGATTCCCGGGCTGGGCAGTGTCGACTCAGCCTTTCATCCCTTGATTTCCACCACATGGGTCGATAAAATATTTGCTTGGGGACTAAACACTGGGGGGGTGTTAATAACCATACCTCCCCTCCAAAAAATAAATAAATAAATAAAAAGAGAGAGAGAGAAAAGAAGAAAGAGAAAAACAGGAAATGAAACACAGATGTGGATCCACCTTTCTGTTGTCAATGAATTGACTGATGAGATGCGGAGAAACAAAGAATACAGTTCCTCAGTTGTCCTAAAGCCTTGGTGTGCCTGGTCTAGGAACACTTCAGGTTCGCCGTTCAATTTTAGGCAAGATTTCAAGATAAAAATATAAAACTAATATAGAATAAGGAGATTAGCATACAGCCAAAAAAATAACATAGAAATTTCTTTTTAAACAATTCCTTATATACCATAAAAAAAATCTAGAAGATTTCTTTGAAACACGAGGGTCTTAAAAAACTAAACATGGCTAAAATATATGGACTGGTTTGTGTTGAGCTGCCATGTATTATAAGTAAAGAAGGTTCAGAGTAACCTATAGTAACCTCTAAATCCTTTTTTATTCAATTTTTCTGTGCGTACAGAAGGAAATTTTTATGTGTGCCCAGACCATGCACGCTGTGCTGCAAAGGGTTAAAATGTATAGAAATAAAAAAAATTATATACTTTTCAAAATGTTTTATGCAAAATATAATTACCCATTTAGGAAGGAAGGGAATTTCTTGTATTACTGTCGTTTCTTAAAAAAAATTCTGATACATTTAAAACATGAAAAACAGTATCAATTAAAATGTGAAATATTAATAATTTAGATTTTGAAGAATGAAGGATAACTTTGACAAAATAGCATTCAAAATTTAAATTAAATTTGAACCAAATAATATTTCCATCTGGGCAGTTAAGGTGAAAAAATGAAGTATGTATTATTAGGTATAACATTTCAATGGAATTCATAGTTCAGAGAATAATACATAAAGTAGATCCTCAAGCAGTTCTTGTGATTTGAATATCATTTAAAACTTTCAAACACCTTTGTTCGTTAATGAAAGTGAGAAAGTTGTGGATCTCGCAAGATGTATTGCGGGAGTATCAACTCGGAGATAATGATCCCCCGTCTTTGCTTTCCTGATTCGACCCCACTGTGAAGATAAAAGCCATGAATCACCTCTTTTAAGTTTTGACTTATTTTGGGGGACTGGAAAAACCTGGTGCAACAAATCTATCTCGGGGGGGGGGTTACGGTCCAGCCCACATATCACTCTGACAAGATTCTGCAATTACTAATGGATGAAGATGCATTTCAAGTAGATGAGTCTTTTTGAGGGCAAACAGTGAACTAGTTAAAATATTTGAAATTGCACTGTATTTATGAATGGATCTGGTAGTAAAAATAATGTTATGAGCTATTATGAATATAATTTGTCATTTAAATTCATTTGCTGCAATTATGTCTGCAGTTATTAAATCAAAATCTAAAACAAGAATATGTACTTTTAAAGTACAGGAAATTAGAAACAAGTTAAAAACAGAGGGATTGTATTAAATGTGCCATTTATTGTTGGGACTGTGCAGAACAGCGATGTTTTTAACATATATGCTAAAAGAAACTTTTTTTGGTTTAGTGTATTTTGTATATATCTAGAAATTGTACTGCATATATCTAGAAAGGTTTCCAAATCATGATGAGAATGAAATTCTTTTATTGAAGGCTTCAGTTATGTATGTGAGGCACTGTGTAATTTATTTAAAGTCAGGCTTCCAGCATGTTGTTAGCGTCATTTAAAATTATTTAAATTTGAATAAGATATTATTCAGCATATCAGGATTTTAATTCTCTAGAATTCAAACCTATCATAAGGATGAACTGCTTGCTATTAGTTTTAATTTAAGAAACAAATATGATTGTAATATTTGAGGACTTTTTTAATACATAACTGTTAGATTACTTACCGCGTGTTTTATGTCTGGTAATCTTTTTGTATACTTATATTGCAAATAAATCATAAATTATGTTAGTTAAGGACTAGTGATTAGTTGGGAGACAGTGGGTTGTGATGCATTTCATGAGAAAATGAATTCTTTCACAAAAGCTTGAATATCTATTAGAGATGCAGTTCAACATATGGTAGACATGTGGCTAATATGACAGCCTTTCGTTTGAATGATCGCATGTGTGTGGCTGGATCCTGGCCTTCTCGAGACAGTACCTTCTTTTTGACCACTGATGCCAAAATGCATGCATAGTGAGATACATTCCTACCAAGTCTTTTTGCAATGTCATTGCCTTCTGATACCCTTATTATTATTATACGATCTCATTGAAACTTGGTTAAGCTGCTGATAGTGCCTTCTTCATCATCTCCTTAAAGGCATTCTTGACTCAAATCTTGCTCACAGAATGCAATCCAGAAAGTGAGTTAAGAACATAAAGTTTACATCGTGTACTTAAAGGAAATGTGATTTCCATGTTAACCACTTGCACTAAAATGACATGCCACACATGTTGAGATGCTTTTGTCTCCAACCGCGTGCAAAAATGAAAATAACGTGGTGCACACGTCGCCTAACAACGAGATTGTTTATTTCTCGAGTTACAGCTCTGGATTGCACTCGCAGACGTGGAGCGCCGTAAATGAAACACTTTACCGCTTGTTATATTGTAGTGCATGGCACCGCAACTGTGAAGTTTAGTCGTAGCGCAAGTGGTTAATAGTGCTTCTACTAGCACTAAACTTATTCATCTGGCACGAAATTTGAATAGATGTGCAGACACATCTGTCAAATTTCATTTATCTAGGACAAATCTTTTTAGGTGTTGGAATTTTATTTTCTGTCAGTGTATTCCTCAAGGGGCAGGATAAACCAAAAGTTATTGATAAATGTATGGAAGAATAAAATTTGAAATATATTTTATATATTTTTATATGTGTCTGTTTGCAGGTGTTGATCCTGCTATCATGGGTATTGGACCAGCTGATGCAATTAGGAAGCTGTGTGAAAATACTGGAGTCAAACTAAATGATGTGGATTTAATTGATGTAAGTTTGTGCATTTGCAAAGTGTGTGCGATGCATCTTCTGTGTGGTTTACTGGCAGTTACCATGAACATTCATGATGAGGAAATTCAGTGAATTTCTTAAGCATAGTTTTTGCATGTTATAATATTTTAACACCTGCACTGCTGTATTTTTACAAAATATTTTTTCCTCCTGTGATATATTAGATGCCCCCATGTTTATTTCAGTAATTTTATTTTGAATTTCTTGTCTAAATGAATTGATATCAACTAAAAGAAAAGTCAGGCTCTTGACTCTGACCCAAAGTACTTACTGAGGGATCTGCAGCTTGAATAATGCAAGCTGTGTAGCAGTAAACATGGTGAGAACTGTTTCGAGATGTGTGTTTTATTTTCAGTTATATTTTTCCCCTTATCAGTATATCAGTCTTATGTAACAGTAACTTCTTAACTGCATTAGAGAATTGGTCATATAAACAGTTTAAAACTATAGAACATTTCTTTTATAATGAAATTGCTGATTTTTCCTATTCACAGTTTCTTAAAATTAATAGTTCACATGTAAAATAACCTGCATGTCAACATTATTGTCTGTTCTTTGGTAATAACCATCATTGTTTTGTTTCCACTAATGTGTTTCATTAGAGGAAGCTTCCCAAATACATTCTCCTGAGAAAACTTATTACTCATTTCACAGATTTATTATTAGCAAGTTTTATGCCCACCAGCGGCTGAGTGATAGAGTTGTTGAACACTAGTAGTTCGGTCTGAGGTTCGAATCCTGTGAATGGGCTGGCTGCATAGGTGTTTTTATGGTTTTCCCCATGCGTAATGTGTATAAGAGCCAGTTTCCCTTGGAAAGTACTTCACAAAGGCATACCTCTCCTTAGGCAGATAGCCCTCGAGGCTTTGCCGTAATCGCATAAACCAACCTTATTAGCAGGATTTGTTAAACCTATACCACTCTAAGATCACAGCTGATGATGCATCCATTTTTAATGTGGACTTCCATCAAAGAAAAAACCAGAAACATAATCTGGATGTAATAACTAGTGCTAAGACTAGAGCTTATATACTGGAAAAGAAACTTCGAGCTTCTCAGATAAGCTAGTTTTAATTCTAGCACAATGAAATTTTGGCAGTGACTACATTCCTGGAGGAAATGCTCATCAGCAATGAAATTATGAAGCATGCAGAAGTAATAATCTATGTTTTTTTGAGAGATGGGGTTCATTTTTTGTTCACTGCATGGTTTCATTGTTCAAAAACCTATTTGTTGATGTTAACCAATTGAAAATTGAATTTGCACTTGATCAGTTCACTGATTTTGAAGTTCTTGCTGCTCCTCAAAGAGCTTTCATTTCAAAATCTGTGATGGTTCTGATGTAACATGGCACAACATTTCGAGATTATAAGATGAAAATTAGCTTTAGATTTGGGGAACTGAGTAAAGTAATGTTGATTATTTTATTAGTATCTCACAGCAATGCACCACTGAAAGGACTTTTGGCATGGTGCAGAAGAATTTAACTCGGTTTAGACCCACTTTAACCAATGGCACATCGAATGCACTTTTTGTGCAGAAAAGCAAATCATTTTCTCATGACATTGTTTGCTACCAGAATAAGTTTAGCTGTAAAAAATGTTTCTAGAACTAAAACAAAAAACAAATAGCAGAGCAAATAATATAAGTTTTAATTAGAATCATCAACTAGGAGAGCTACCTCTTTGGAACAACAGTATAACAAAAAGCGATCTCCTAATGACAACAACACTCACTGTTGCCAGAATTTATTAACCAAATTATTCATTATTATTATTCGCTTTTATTTTTTAGCATAATTTAACACTTCTCCTTGTCAATAATTAAGAAAAGAACAGATATAATAATAAACTAGAAGGAAAAAGTCCCAAGAGTACCATATTTTCTCAAAGAATCAACAGCTTCAGTTTAAACAGAGAAATAGTCATTATGTCAGCAACTTGCTGCTCTGCAGATATCTCTGCTGCACAATGATTTGCTTTCCTATGTGATTCTAGATTGAATTCTATGATTGAGGAGTCCATTATTGCTGTGACTCACTGCAGAAATTGGATGCACTTTAAAATGGGGTTTCTCATTATCCTTCAAACTCCACTCTGTGATATGGCCATTAATTTGTTTCCTGCATTGTTGCTAGGGAAAGGTTTTATTTTCTGAGCCTTGAGATTTTCTGCATTTCCTTTGTATGTGGCCTTCAGCATATTTCTAACACTTTAGAGTCAGTTTCTTCTTACTCCTATTCCATATCAAAAATCCACGTATCTGGTTAAATCAACTAAACGAGCTGTCACTTGATCCATTGGCTGTTGGACTTGAGCAGCTCTGATCGGGTGTTGGTCTCTACGAGTTGCTTGCTGGGCTGCCTCAAATTTCATGGCGTACTCCAAAGTGCTTTTTAAATCCTGACATCCACCATTTGTAGAGCATTCCGTATTTCAGTATCCCGGATGCCATCGGTGAAGTACTGCAGAGACAGAAATTCCCTTGTTCCTGTTCGGCAGTCCAAAAAGGCGAGCTGAGACAACCTTTAAATATCTGTGAAGAGCCATTGGAATCTTTCCGTGGGCTTCTGTTCTCTGGATTTCAACTTAAGCTTGCTAAAATTTTTTAACATTTCTCGATAGAGTACAGCTCCAACACATCAGAAAGAGCTTCAAAGTCTAGGATTTGGTTTTTGGGAAGGGTCTGAAAGATATCTGTTGCATCTGCTCTCAATGAAGTGGCGAAATGACAGACCTTAGCTTGTGGATCCCAAGTATTCACTTCTGCCACTATAGAAAATTGTGTCTCATATACTTGCCAAGAGGTCTTCCCATCATATGTGGATAACCTTGTCCTTGGATGGCAGAAACTCTTTCTTTAATTTGTTGTTGGACAGCCAAAGCTTTTCCTTCAATTCGTTGCTCCACAGCAGGAACTCTCTCTTCTCTTTGTTCTTTTACAGAAGAAACTCTTTCTTCAGTGTGTCAAACTTTATTTTCAACAGCATCTGTTCTGTCTTCCATAGCCTCAAGTTTGTTTATGCAGGTAATTTCTCTTTTCATTTCCTCTTGATCTGCTTCAATCTTTTCTTGTAGAGTTTTCATCTCCTTTTTGACGGATTCTTGGCTTGCTTTAATCTCTCTCTTTGACATAGTTGACGACCCCCTTCCATCTTTCTTGAATGGCTTCTTTAATGCATTCCTAGCCTGCTTTCCTATCATCTGTAAAGGATGCTTGGCCACTATCTTTCATGACCTTCTATCTTTTTTTAGAAATTTTTATGAATTTTTTTTTTTTTTTAGAATTTAGGCAGTCACAAGCTGTCTTAATTGTTCTTTCATCTCTCTTGTCACTGGCATTAAATTCCACAGCTGCCACCAAAGAGTGTTTTGTGCGTACAGGTTCATAATAAATTGAATGCACTGGTCCGATAATAGGTAAATAAAAATTTATTTTTATCAAAGGAAATATTTCAGAACTAGGGCATTTTCCACAGAAATATTCATACATGTGTTAGCAGCATGAATCAGTATAATCAGTAGTTATACTTTAAAATACTAACAATGTTTAACACTATGCAATGCAAAGCGCATCTAAAGAGAAAGCTAATCTGATCTCTCGCTGAACTCGCAACAATAACAACAGCAGCTAACTAAACAACTGAGAGCAGGTGCTCTCTCTTTGACCTTAAAAAGTTTTCAATCAGCCGCAAGATATTTCTAGTACTTTCTGCTTCTCGAAATTACTGGAAAGCAATAAGAGTATGGAATTATGGTTACAGCTAACGTAGCAGTTGTTACGTTTGTTCAGCTTCAATACATATTACAGAGGTACCCATTTACTCAATGTTAAATGAACATGCTCCTGTAATTTTTTTTCTGGCATAGCTTTCTTTTCAAATTGGTCTCATGCTATATTATACAGAAAATACAACAATTTTAGTTATAATTCTACTAAAACTATCTATCAAAATGCAAAATTTGCGGCAATATGTACAAAATGCTGGTAAAAATTCATTTCAACATTAAATTTGATGGAAGTCAAATTTTTGTCGTTGAGATGAATAAACTGTATCAGAATGCATATGATTGTGTTGAGACAATCTGAGTGCCAAATTTTGTTTCTTGGGGGCCCTCTCTGAATGTGGCTGATTTAGCATGAATTTGTATGGAATAGTTTATGAATGAGAACAAAACAAGTTTTAAGCGGTTTGCAATTAAAAATCTAAAAGTGTATTTTGTTTTAAATATACTTGTGGGGAAAAATTAAACAATTGTAAAAACTCATGTAACTTGAATGATTTTGCAGCTAAGAACTTGGAACTTTCATAATATCTTTATTTTATCTATGATGCCTGACAAATCTTCAGAATGTAGAATTCCATATTTTTCAAAAAATAATTTTGAATAAGAGCAAAGTTGATGCACTCATTTTGTCATGTACCTCTCTGTGGTCAGCCATTGAACTGCCTTCTTTTCGTCGCAAAGAGCAGGCAGGGAAGGCAGATCGACAGTTGAAAGGTTGGAGTTGTCTGGAGAACTTTGGTAGGGGGTTTCACCAGATTTTGAATTAAGTTTTCAGCCGGTGAGACTGTTATAATTTTGGTATGATTTTAAAGAGCTTTAAACCTGTCATTTCAATTATATTCTTTAAATTTATGTTAATATTTCTATATATAAAGCCATGTTTATAGAAAAAAATCATAACAGCAGATTTATGTAAAATATTGTCAACCTGACAACATGCTGTCTCAAAGATAAGAACCAGGGCTCATAGTGGTAAAACAGAAGTGGATATGCCTCACAATTGTAAGAAGTTTATATTTCCGAGTCAGAATAGGGAGCATAAGAATTATTTAATTTTAAAGTTTGAAAATTTTAAACAAAAATAAAATGTTCAAAAATGTGAAGAAAGAGTATCTGGTAACTGTTGTATTGGAAACTGGAGAAGAAGCAACTACAGATTTGAAACTGGCAGATCTGAAACACAAAGTTCAG